AAAAAAAAAAATAAAACATAAAAAGAGTATGATTAGAAAAACAAATAAACAAACAAAAACTAAATCCTGGACATTTTGGAAGTGGCACTGTGGCTCAAGAGGTAGAATGCTGGCCTTGAGCTAACGAGCTCAGGGACAGTGCCTAGGCCCAGAGTTCAAGACCCATGACCAACAAAAAACAAAAACAAACAAACCTAAGAGTATGACTAGGCAGAACAGAGTGGCTCTGTTCTAGATCATCCAGCCATAATCACACCAGCCTGATTCAAAATAAATAATAAATAACAAAAACTGCCCAGTCAGACTGTACTTAGTGACAATAAATTGTGTGTGGTGTATGTGTGTATGTGCACGAGCCAGTTTGGGGGCTTGAATTCAAGGCCTGGGTGCTGTCCCTGAGCTTTTTCACCCATGGCTCTTCTACTTGAGCTTCTAGCTTTTTTGGTGGTTAATTAGAGATAAGAGTTTCAGGAACTTTCCTGCTCTAGGCTAGCTTTGAACTGCAATTCTCAGATCTCAGTCTACTGAGTAGCTATAATTATAAGCGTGAGCCACTGGTACCAGGCAAAAGAATTTAATTAAAGTGTTTAAAATTGCCACAACTTTGGAATTGTTATCGAATTTCTAAAAAAAATAATGCTATGTCATGGTTTTCTTCTAATGAATAATTGTACCAGCTCTTAAGTTTCTGTGTTGGCTTGAATCCTACCCATGAATACTGGTTCTGAGAGATGGGAATTATAAGTGTGCAAACCCCATTTCATTTTCCTGCCTCTTCCTGGTAGGAAGTGTGAATAAGGGCCAAGAGGAAGCTGCATAACTGAAGGAGGAAAACAGACATTTTTTCCTTGCTGTTCCCACCAAGGCCTCTTCAACAGCGGTCCATTAAACCCATGAGGTACAAGAGGTATGTACGTGCCCCCTCGCCTTCCCATTTCCTTGGGGAGCAGCTCTTCTGGCTTCAGAGCCTCCTACAAATTTACCAAGCTTGCACTGTTTTCCTATCAATTGTGTCTAAACCCAAATCCTGCTGCATTCTTGTAGTGATAGACTTATAACCCCCTGCTTTTGCCCGGACCTGTCTATTTTCACTCTAGAACAATCTTTTACTATGAAGCAAAATTTAATTTTACCATATAAAAATCATTTCTGAGTTAGAAAATGTTCTCTTTTTAATATAAATTTATTGTTATTATTATTGGGGTGTTGTACAGAGTGCAGTTCTTCTTGGACAATGTTACCCTTTCCTTTACTTTCCCCAAGTTTCTCCCTCCTGTCCCTGCTCACAAATTGCATAGTTCATTTTTTTAAATAGTGTATAATAAATACTATGACTTCATTTGTTCACCCTTCTTCCCTCCATTTCTGTTTCCACCTTCCCCTCACCCAACCCCCCCAAAAAAAATACAAACAATAACTTCAAAAAATGTTTTCATTTCCTGGAGAAAATGTTCTCTTACAACTGTTTTGCATCTCCTTATCCCTTGCCATATTCAATCAATTGGGTCCTGGCACAAATATAATCACAATTCTCCTGTTCTTATCTTTCTAGTTTTGCCCTTCTCTGTCTATTTCCATTTTAGAACAATCCTTTACTTTGGGGGGAAAATCTTATTTCATCATACAAAATGCCTTCTTACAACTTTTTTCTACACCTCATCTCTTTCTTACTGGCTCTTTTCTACCTTGCGTGCTGCTGTTGGTTGGTTGTCTGCTTACTTTAATTTTCAGATATTATGCAGACTTTACTAACCCTTGGATTTTCTAAAGGCCCTTTCTACTTACTGTTTTTTCTCTTGAGCATGTGAATTCTAAGAGTTACAGAGTTACCTTCCAGCTAGCCCTGGCTAAGATAATATAACTCTGGAACAACCTTGAACAGCAACAACTGTTCAGCAAGAAAAAAGGCAGAGAGGAAACAATGCACAAAAGACTCCAAATCTTTCCCTTTCAACACTAGAGTTGAAGTTTCGGATACAACAGGTAAATTGATTTGGTTTTGCTGGACACAGGAGAAAAGGAATAAACCCTCACAACCATGCAGGTCTTGGGAGATGAGAGTCCGGGGTTAGAGAGTATATATTGGTGAGGAACTGGATAGAGAGACATACTGGGCATGTCCAGAGTCAACCAAGTCTCCTCCCCTCTGTGTGTACATTGTATATGTTGCAATATCATGATTGCATGGAGGAGGCCACCAAGGGCCCTCGGCACCTTCTCTCAGACATGACCTGCAGTTACTCTACTAGGCTTTGTCATCATTGTCATAGGAAATGTTTTCTTGCTTGCTTGCTTGCTTTCTCTTTCTTTCCTTTCTTTCTTTTGGTCAGTAGTGAGTCTTGAACTCTGGGCCTAGGCACTGTCCCTTAGCTCTTCAGCTCAACGCAAGCACTCTACTACTTGAGCCACAGCACCACTTCCAGTTTTCTGGTGGTTTATTGGAGATAAGAGTCTCACGGACTTTCCTGCCCAGGCTGGCTTTGAATCACAATCCTCAGATCTCAGCCTCTTGAGTAGCTAGGATTACAGGCCACCAGCACCCAGCCCTCCCTTCCTGCCTTCCTGCCTTCCTTCCTTTCTTCCTTCCTTCCTTCCTTCCTTCTTTCTCTTTCTTTCTTTCTTTCTTTCTTTCCTTCTTTCTTGTCATTAGGCTTGAACTTGGGAGTCCATGCACTGTCTCTGAGCTCTTTTTGCTCAAGGGTAGTACTCTACCACTTTGAGCCACAATGTCACGTCTGGTTTTCTGGTGGTGAATTGGAGACAAGAGTCTCATAGACTTCTGCTGAGCTAGCTTCAAAGTGTGATCCTCAGCTCTCAGCCTCCTGAGTAGCTAGGATTACAGTTATGAGCTACCAGTGCCCAGTGGAAAATGCTGTTTCTAATGCCAGTTAGTGATGTGGATCCTTTTCAAAAATCCCCCCCACTCAGCACTTTCTACTATTAAATTGAGGCTTTTTATTTTTTACAATAAAATCCTTGTCCTATAATACAACTAGAAGTTTTGCTTCCCTGACTGAAGCTTGTTTGACAGCATCACTCTCCTTCACAGAAGCACACATCCCAATCATATGGAGTTCTAGGGTTGGGGCACTGAGTCCCTGCCCAGCCCATGTCACTCCTCCTTCTTTGCTACAAAGGCTTTACTAAAAATTACTCGTCCTTCCTTGCCATCTTCTAGGCACTCAATTTCTGTCCCCACAGAGGTATCTCACTGTTTGTGTGTACTGTAGGGCTTATGTATGCTTCTACACCCTTGCCCTCTGCCTCAGGCATGGTCCAGTCAGAAGTACAAACCACATCAATGGTTGGAATGAAGGGTAGTTAACTGAGGGGCAGGTTGGAAGAACCAAAAAAAAAAAAGGACCCCTAGAAGAGGTTCCCCTAGGGCTAAGGGAAGTAAGCAGAGCATGCTTGAAAAACAGAAGGGGCTTCTGTTCTTGGAACTTAGAAGAAGAGGACATTCAGGTGTCGGTGGCTCACACCTATAATCCTAGCTACTCAGGAGGCTGAAATCTGAGGATCACAGTTCGAAGCCAGCCCAGGCAGAAAAGTCCCTGTGAGACTCTTTATTTCAAAAACCAGAAGTGGCACTGTGGTTCAAGTGGTAGAGCCTAGCCTCGAGCACAAAGAGGTACAGGGACAGAGCCCAAGCCTTGAGTTCAAGCTCCACACCAACAAAAAAATAAAGACAAAGAAAAGGAAGACAGCCTGGTGCCCACAAGGACAACCCTATGGGTAGGGTCTCCTGCACGGTTAGAACCCAGGCTGAGTTTCACCTCTTGCTGTCCATTTTCCTCCCAGGTTTTGCTCCAGTTACATCCTATTTCTTGCTTTCAACACCAACATGAGCCTCTGTAACCCTATTTCATCTCATCTAGCTGGGTCTTCACTGTTCTTCAACCCACCCACTCTCAATGTCCCCTTCCCCCAGAGCATTGGAGTCGTTGGAGTCTGTGTTGGTGGCGCCCCCTTGTGGTCCCTTGGTTCAGGCACTGCAGAGCTGGGTGGAGAGACTCAACTGCTGCTGGGCCTTGGACCTTGGCTGACCTTGCCTTGCTGACCTAAAAGACAAAGGGAGGTGCCTCAAGGCTGGGACTGCTTCTGTAGGCATCAGAGGGCACGTGTGGGTGACATGTGCCCCACAAGATCCGAGCAAGTACAGCTTCCCCGTCACTTTGCCATTACTGCGCGGGCTCGCACATCTGGCTTGCAGCTCCAGCCATGAAGCTCCTGCTACTGACATTGGCCGTTCTGCTGCTCTTGGCCCAGCTCACTCCAGGTAACCTGGCCCTCCTTAGTGCAGGGATGGTGGGTTGAGACTGGGGTCTGTTCAGGGAATTCCAAAGGCCGGAACAATCCACTAACTAGGACAGCAAGACATGGCCATTAGAAGTGTACAGGAAGCAACTGGTCAGCAATGGGTGGTAGATCTTAGGGACCAGCTGTGACAACCACAGCTTCCCACTCAGCCACACCATCCTCCACTCCAGGATGTTGTGCAGGTGGCCCTATGTGTGTGGGGGGGGAGGGGGTCAGGAAAAGCCTACCTATGCTTCTCATGGCAACTCTCGCTCTTCTAAAGAGAGGTAAGGAATATCCTGCCCTTTATATTAATCATTTCTCTGCTTTGCATGGGGGGGAGGGGGGTTCAGGGATTACATCAGGGGGTGTCACACTTTCTACCCCAGCTCCATCACTCCAGTTGTGCCTTCAAGTCCTTTCCTTTTTTATTTTTTTATTTTGGTCAGTTGTGGGGTCTGAACTCTGGGTCTGGGCACTGTCCCTCAGCTCTTCAGCTCAAAGCTAGTGCTCTACCACTTGAGCCACAGTGCCACTTCCTGCTTTTTCTGCTTATGTGGTGCTGAGGAATCGAACCCATGGCCTCATGCATACAAGGCAAGCACTCTACCACTGAGCCACTTCCCAGCCCTTCTTTCCATTTTAATTTGTTTTTCAGATAGGGTCTCATGCTTTCGTCTAGGCCAGCCTCAAAATTGCAATCCTATCTCAGACTCTCAAGCAGCTGGAACCTCAGGCATGAACTACCATTCCTGGCCTTGCTTTGCATTTCTTAATGGTCACATTGCCCCGGAGGAGTCCCTGACAATATGTGCATGTGTCCTGAGGCTTGAACTCGGGGCCTGTGTGCGGTTCCTGATTTTTTTTCCTCAAGACTGGCACTCTACCACTTGAGCTACAGCTCCATTTCAGCTTCTTGGTGGTTAATTGAAGAGCCTCGCACTGGGTACCAGTGGCTCACGCCTGTAATTCTAGCTACTCAGGAGGCTGAGATCTGAGGTTCAAAGCCAGCCTGGGCAGGAAAGTCTGTGAGACTTTTTTTTGGGGGGGTCCAGTTGTGGGGCCTGAACTCTGGGCCAGCCTGGGCAGGAATGTCTGTGAGACTCTTATTTTTGGGGGGGGTCCAGTTGTGGGGCCTGAACTCTGGGCCTGGGCGCTGTCCCAGCCCCTTAAAGGAGTAAAAAAGGATCTGTTTAAAAAAGGTGTCAAACTGTAAACTTGGCTATTCAGAAGGCTAATATTTGAGGCTCATGGTTCAAAGCCAGTCTGGGAAGGAATGTCCACAAGGCTCTTCTTTCTTTTTTTTTTTTTTTTTTGGTCGGTTGTGGGGCTTGAACTCTGGGCTTGGGCGCTGTCCCTGCACAATTCAGCTCAAGGCGAGCGCTCTACCGCTTGAGCCAATGCACCACTTCTGGTTTTTGAGTGGTTTATTGGAGATAAGAGTCTCACAGATGGGCTGGGAAGGTGGCTCAGTAGTAGAGTGCTTGCCTCGCATGCATGAGGCCCTGGGTTCGATTCCTCAGCACCACATAAGCAAACAGAAAAAAGCCGGAAGTGGCACTGTAGCTCAAGTGGTAGAGCACTAGCCTTGAGCTGAAGAGCTGAGGGACAGTGCCCAGGCCCAGAGTTCAGGCCCCAACAACCGACAAAAAAGAAAAAACAACAACAAAAAACTCCTTTAAACTTGGTGGTTCCACCTTCATCCTTTTCTTGTTGCCTTTACAAGTTCTCTACTGAGAAACATTGGTCACTGACTTATTACCTCTCAAAGTACAGATTTTACTGGCTGCATCCTTGGGGCAAAGTTCCCAGCATTCCTCTGACCTCTGTGTTTCCTGAAAATTGGTCCCTGAAGTCAGATAACTGGTGAGGCTCAACTTGTACACCTGGTGTACAACTGCTTGTGGTGACACGATCTTTTAATAGCTAGTTATCTTTTAAATGCCAATAACAGTTGCTGATGCCCATAGCCTACATCCAATCATTGTTTGGCCATTGCAAAATGATGGTATTCGATGGTATGAAATTCTCTACTTAGCTGAAACACTGGCATAAAAATGGCAGCTATCCATAAAAATGGCTGAGTAACCAAACATGGCTACTGTGTGGTTACTTGGCAGCAGTTTATACAGGAAAGATAGAATAACAACAGAGAAAGGGGTCTGAGAAGGTGGTTTAGTTGCAGAGTTCTTGACTAGCATGCATGAAGCCCTGGGTTGGATTCCTCAGTACCACATACACAGAAAAAGCTGGATGTGGCACTGTGGCTCAAGTGGTCAAGTGCTAGTCTTGAGCAAAAGCAGCTCAGGAACAGTGCCCAGGCCCTGAGTTCAAGCCCCAGAACTGTCAAAAAAAAAAAAAAGACAGGGGAAAAAGAGTTTAGGTATGGTGTCTATCAAGACAAGGCAAGAGCAGGAGCACAAGGGTTAACATCAGACCCAGGCTCACTACAGATTCAGGGCTTCATTTCCACAGAAAGCACAAAATTAAGAGAGAGATGGGAAATTTGTTTCTCCAAACTCCATTTCTGGCACTGCACCTGAGAAAATCAAGCTGCTTTCTTGCACTGAAAAGACTTAGTTTCTTGGGGAAGAATGTCATGTTCCATTCTTGCTGCTATGATTTCAAATACAAAGTTTCTAACTGCCAGGAGTTCTCCCACCATGCTTCTCCTTTCATTGATCCCAAAGGCACTTTCAGGAGTTCACACCATCTATCTTCTAAACTCATCTTCTCCCAATCTCTGTGCCAGATCTTAAATTAGCTCTAAGGTTTCCAGCAAATGTCTTTCCCTGTCACAGCCAGCCTGTCAATGGGAACCGGCCAATGCGTGTAGACAGACAGTACTTCCGCTTCCCTACACTCACCTCTGGATTAGAGTCATACATTTCACTTCTATCCATACAAATGTATGTGTAGATTGCTCTCATTTTACTTGAAACAATTATCTTCGTTGTTGTTCTTCTGGTGTTGCCAGGAATTGTACTCAAAGCCTTGTGCATGTAGTTGGATGTGGTGACAATGTCAGACTTGGCTGGAAGATCACAGCCTTATGCTACATTGACCAATGCTCAAAGCCTATTGTTTGGGGCACACTTTGGTCAATCATACCATTGCTTAAAGCTGGAGAGTGAGGGACCGGGAAGGTGGCTCAGTGGTAGAGTGCTTGCTTTGCATGCCTGAAGCCCTGGGTTTGATTCCTCAGCACCACATAAGCAGAAAAAGTCAGAAGTGGCGCTGTGATTCAAGTGGTAGAACGCTAGCCTTGAGCTGAAGAGCTGGGGACAGCGCTCAGGCACTGAGGGACAGCGCTCAGGCCCTGAGGATCAAGTCTGAAGCCAGCTGGGCAGGAAATCCATGATTACAGGTGTGCACTACTAGCACTTAGTGATTTTTTTTTGTTTGTTTCATTTTGAAATTGCTCTTCTACTGAGCCATGCCTCCAGGCTTGGCCCAAAACTCGTGATCCTTCTGTCTCAGCCTTGTGTCTGCTACGAATACAGGTATGTGGCCACCATGCTCATTCTGAAGTTTGTATGCTGGTAGGTTTTTATGTCTTCTTATTTTAGCATCCACAGCTTTCTGAAGCTGATGCTTGTAGTAGCGTTTTCTTCAAAAGAGAAAATGATACTCAAGATCTCCAGGTCTCACATAGGAGAGCCAGGCTCTTGGAGCTCCAGCGGTCCATGCCCTTTACCACTATGCCTTTCCCTCCCATGCTGAGAGGAACACCCCATGGCAGATTGGGATTGAGTGTAGAGGAGAAGTAAGAAGTCTCTGTCCCCTCTACATAGCCTTCCCTGTCCATTCCGTATCTTTTTCCCTGTTTCACCCTCTGTCCGACTTCATGAAAAGAGACTCAAATAGCAAATCAAATCGAACTTCAAGATTTTATTCAGCTGATCGATAGCAGGGCAGCTCTCAGACACAGCAAGACTGGCATCTCTAGCGTGGAAAGAAGAGTGGGTGTCCTGTGGTTGCCTTGAGCAGCAGGCTTTGCCGTTCTGCATGATTAGACATTTGTGTGCCTCTTTGCTTGGGGTTGTTTGAGGCCAGTTTCCTCGCAGTGACTCTCTTCCATGGGAAATTTAAGGTTTCACGGTTAAGGTTTCACGGTTTGTCCACGGGCGAAGTGGGTAGCTCAAAGAGTGCAGCAAAGGAAAAATGTTCCTAGGTAGAAAGAGGACAAGCCTAGGAGGCCCTCTCTCACGTCTGTTTCAATGTGCTTCAATCCAAGGCCGACCTCTTCTGACCACCGATGATGTCTCCCTTCCTCTTTGTATCAGGTGATGCCCAAAGATGCTGGAGTTCGTATGGAAAATGTCACAGGAGATGCTCCCCGAAGGACAAGGTGTATGTCTACTGCTCCAATGGTAAAGTGTGCTGCGTGAAGCCCAAGTACCAGGTGAAAGAAAGGCCATGGCTCATCTCAGTGCCAGGAACCCCGATGCCAGGCGGGAACAGAAGAGGCTAGCCCTGAACCTGAACCCAGTACATCCCACAGCTCCCTCAATAAACACCTCTGGCTGATAATGGTGTGTGTGTGTGTGTGTGTGTGTGTGTGTGTGTGTGTGTTCATCTGCCTCAGCTGCTCTCAGTTTCCTTTCAGAGCTTCAGGAAGTCAAAAGGAAGAAGAAGGAGGGGGAGAGGGAGGAGCAGAAAAAGGGAAGGGGGAAGGGGATTCCTTATTTCTCTTTTTCTTTTTCTTTTTGAATTTTTAATTTTTTGGGGGGGGTCCGGTCATGGGGCTTGAACTCTGGGCCTGGGCGCTGTCCCTCAGCTCTTCAGCTCAAGGCTAGCGCTCTACCACTTCAGCCACAGCACCACTTCCAGCTTTTTTCTGTTTGCTTATGTGGTGCTGTGGAATTGAACCCAGGGCCTCATGCATGCAAGGCAAGCGTTCTACCACTGAGCCACCTTCTCAGCCCTTGAATTTTTAAATTTTTTAAAAAATTTTTGTCCATCATGACCCTTGAACTCAGAGCCTGGACATTGTCCCTGAGCTCTTGTTGCTCAAGGCTAGCACTCTATCACTTTGAACCACAGCTCCACTTCTGGCTTTCTGGTGGTTAATTGGAGATTAAGAGTTTCACGGACTTTCCTACCTAAGCTGGCTTTGAACCAACATCCTCAGATCTCAGTTTCCCAAGTAGCTAGCGTAACAAGTGTGAGCCACTGGCAACTGGTCTTTATTTCTCTTTTTCTATCTCAGTGTCACAGGTTGATGGAATTTTCTAGACTCTACAAGACATAATCAATGTGCAGAAATTATACAAATAGTAGGCTTTATAACAACATTTTCATGCATGTATATCATGTATTTAGATCATAACTGTCTCCCTAATAGCCACACTTAGTATCCCTTCCCTCTGCCATCCTCAAAGAAATCAAAGTCAGAACTACATTAGACACCTATACACCCATGTTTACTTGCCACACAAGTCACCATAGCCACATAAGGAACCATACTAGATACCCACCAACAGAGGGGTGGATTAAGAATATAGCGTCAGGGCACTGGTGGCACATACTTATAATCCTAGCTACTCAGAAGGCTTAGATCTGAGGATCATGGCTCAAAGCCAGCCCAGGCAGGAAAGTCCATGAGTTTCTTATCTCCAATTAACCACCAGAAAACCGGAAGTGGTGCTGTGGGTCCAGTGGTAGAGCACTTGCCTTGAGCTGAAGAGCTGAGGAACAGAGCCCAGGCCCAGAGTTCAAGCCCCATGACCAACAAAAAAGAAAGACAAGAAAGAAAATGGCATGTATACACAATAGAATATTATTCAGCAATCAAGAAGTGAAAGAAGCCAGACTCAAAAAGAGAAGAAAGATTTGCATATTTTGCCTGGTTATGCAGAATCTAGAAGAAAAAGAAGAAGGAGGAGGAGGAGGAGGAGGAGGAGGAGGAGGAGAGGGGAGGGGGAAGATTATTTTTCAGTTATTTTTATTATTTATTTATTGGTGGTACTAGGGTTGGGGTTTGACCACAAGGCCTTTTACTTAGCAATTAAGTGCTTTACCTCTTGAGCCACATCCCCAGCTTGACAGGAGTGTCTTAGGATACTTTCGTTTTTCCTTTTTTAATTTTTGGGGCCTTGTGCTGACCATGCATATAGCATCACGCTTAGACTAATAAGTTTCACTCAATTTATTTAAACACTTCAAATATAATCCACACCAATAACTAACTCTTATACCTAATTCTACTAAGTGTGTCCCACACCCAGGGCAGCTCACGTGGCACCGTCACTTGGTCCGGAGGTCAAGGGGAGTTGGTTGAGGGTGTCCTCCGGGCTGCGTCTGAGTCCCTGGAGGGAGCAGCGGCTGCCTTGCTGGGGCAGCTGCAGTGGAGGGCCTGTCCAATACAGAGTCTCACTGGGTCTCTGCTGCTCTGGGTTTTTATATGTTCTAGGCTGGGCTTTTTCACTTCTGGCTATATCTGATCATCAGTAGCAGGCACGGTTGCCTTGGTGACAGCTTCGCTTCCGGTCTAGTCCGGTTATGGACGAGGGTGGGGCTGGCTTGCCTCTGGCTGGGTCTGGTTTATCTGGTGGGCTAGTTGTCTTGGTGACAGCTCCGTAGGCTCCCTGGGTGTGTCCTTATCTCTATATTCCATAGTTCTAACTTCTAACTTCTAACTCCTAATCTTACAGCTTAATATTTCATACTATTCCCCAGCACACAGACACTCAATATATTCCTATTCAATAACCTACCATGTCAGTATTCAATAAAACACTATGTCAGTATTTAGTAATACCCTATGTCAGTATTCCATAATATTCACTACAGGCCTGAGCTCAGGGTGCTGTCCCTGAGCTTTTTTGCTCAAGGCTAGCACTCTACCACTTGAACCACAGCTCCACCTCCAGCTTTTGGGTGGTTGACTGGAGATGAGTATCATGGACTTTCCTGCCCAGGCTGGCTTTGGACCTCGATCCTCAGATCTCAGCCTCCTGAGTAACTAGGATTACATGTGTGAGCCACCAGCACCTGACTCTCAATAAGTAAGAAATACAAAGCAAAAAAGGGGAAAGTAGCAAGTTCCCAACAAGACCTATAGGGGGCAGTATCACCCCCTTGAAGCTCATCCATCTAACCATTCACAAAGAAAAAAACACGACCTGTTCTTGGTCTATTCTGAGGGACTACTCTGGAACTGGAGCTGCAGCATAAATGCCGATAATTTACCCAGTTTATTTTTTTAAGGAAAAAATTTAGGGAAAACAGCATTTGAGGGGTCTTTCTCAACTTTTTTCTTACTTTTAAACAACTTAGTGTTGCCTTTCTGGAACATCATGTAAACACTTGGGGTGCACCTCTTGGTGTGTAACCTCTTTCAGTTCACATCATGTTTCTGAGATTAATTCATGCTGGTATGGCGGCAAACTGTTGTTGTTTAATTAAGTATGATATTTATGATATACTTCAACAAATCCATACGCCTCATGGTATGTCAGCTGTTTCCACTTACAAGTACTAGAAATAAAGTCGTTGTTATAAACATTATTAAACGTCTTTACAGACAGATATAAATACCTGCTGATAACTAAGTATTTCTAACTTCAATTAAGCTACTACAATTTCTACTACAATTAAGCTGTAAAGTGAAGGAGAAGGAGAAAGGTCACATTTAAAAAGTACCAGATGCAAGCCTTATACACCATGCAGTTTTAGTTGTACCTTTTACCATGCTACAGTCTGACTAAATAAGGAAGGTTTATCCTTCAGTAAGATTTATCTCTTGGGGCTGGGAAGGTGGCTCAGTGGTAAGAATGCTTGCCTTGCATATGAGGCCCTGGGTTCGATTCCTCAGCACCACATAAGCAGAAAAAGCCGGAAGTGGCACTGTGTCTCAAGTGGTAGAGTGCTAACCTTGAGCTGAAGAGCTCAGGGATGGCGCCCAGACCCAGAGTTCAGGCCCCACGACCGACCAAAAAAAAAAAAAAGATTTATCTCTTTTTAACCTTTGTGATTTGTGACAAACGAGCAGACACATTTAGAAGTCTGTAATGATTATGTTTCCTAACCTGCTCTTCAAGTTGCAGTTCCAAGTTTGGAATGATGTCATCTTTTTCCTGGAGAAAAGACTCTAGATCTTGACACTTTTTATATAACTTCATCTCTGATTCACTGGTTTGAATATTCGCGGCATTTAATTTCTCTTCCATAACTTGTACCTGAATTCAGAAATAAAATATTAAAATTATGCCCCCCCCAAAAAAATAAAAAATAAAAGTCTTTACAGGACTGGAGTTATGACTCAAGTGTAGAGCACCAGCAGGGAAGGAAAAAGATTAATGAAACCTAAGAGGTCTTGAGCTCAAGCCCTAGTACCGCTAAAATAAGCTGGGTGCTGGTAGCTCACACCTGAAACCTAGCTACTCAGGAGGCTGAGATCAGAAGATCACAGTTAAAAACTGGTGAAATTTGAGGGGTGAGGGGAGGATCGGGTGGGTGGAGGGGAGTAGTATGGGAAGGGATGGGAAGGGGAAACAACGAGGAGGCAACAATGCTTGATAAGAAATGTACTCGTTATCTTGCCCATGTAATTGTAACTCCTCTGTACGGTATTCTCACAATAAAAAAATGAATTAATTTTTTAAAAAAAACTGGTGAAATTCTTATTTCCAGTTAGCTCGCAAAACTCCAGAAGTAAACCTATGGCTCAAATGGTTGAGTACCCCTTGAGTGGAAGAGTCAAGCAAGAGCACAAGGCCCTGCGTTCAAGCCCCAGTACCTACACACACACACAAAAAGTATCTCTTGGCTGGGAAGGTGGCTCAGTGGTAGAGCGCTTGCCTTGCATGCATGAGGCCCTGGGTTCGATTCCTCCGCACCACATAAGCAAAAAGGAAGTGGCACTGTGGCTCAAGTGGTAGAGTGCTAGCCTTGAGCTGAAGAGCTGAGGGACAGCACCCAGGCCCAGAGTGCAGGCCCCACAACCGGACCCCCCCCCCAAAAAAAATCTCCAATAAACTACAAAAACAAAACAAATCTGGAAGTAGAGCTGTTGCTCATATGGTAAAGCACTATCCTTAAGCAAAAGTAGCTGGAGGACAGTGCCCAGGACTGAGTTCAAGCCCCAGGATACTCTCTCTGTGTCTCTGTCTCTTTCTGTCTGTCTCTCTGTCTCTCTGTGTTTCTCTGTCTCTGTCTCTGTCTCTCTGTCTCTTTCACACACACACACACACACACATACACACACTGAGTCTAGTCTGGTTTGTTTTTGTTTTTGTTTTGTTTTGTCGGCCTGGGCCTTGAACTATGGGCCTGGACACTGCCCCTCCCCTGTTCAGTTCAAGGCTAGTGCTCTACTACTTGAGCCACATCACCACTTCTGGTTTTCTGGTGGTTAGTTGGATGTAAGAGTCTCACGGAGTTTCCTGCTTGGGCTAGCTTTGAACCTCGGTCCTCAGATCTCAGCCTCCTAAGTAACTAGATTACAGATGTGAGCCACTTGTGCCCAGC